GGGGGGGGGGGGGTGGTTTTTTATTTATTTATTTATGGCGACCGAGGACTGGGAACAAAAAAAGGAAGAACACGGAGAAAGTCTGGGGGAGTAATCGACTGAACTTAGTTGGACGTCAAATCCCGGGATAAAAAAGCCCTTACGCACTTCTCAAAGTTGAAAGCATGATGATCCTTGTTTGGTGATATTCCAATGGAAAAAAGGCGGTTGAGGTTGTCAGTATCAGTGTTCGTTCGTGTCATCGCAACATGCGAGTGATCAAATGGCAAATGTTGATGTTAACACGCATACCGCCAGACTCAGATTCATGCAAACAACCTTGGAATATAGAACGATCACATGGAACGTGTTCGAGGTGAGGTAGATCTCAAAACTAAAATACTTCGCACATTCTTTTTTTACGATGATTCTTCGTGATGTCTTTTCACTAAAAGGCGAGAACACGAATTTGTTCTTCATGCAACATTTCTCTCTCAGTGCCTCAGTGCGGGAAATTTAAAATTTTCCTAGCAAGCTTTCTGTTTGCACTTGTCTTTGTTAAGATAGATTTTCGTAAAACCCCATACTATTTTAAAGACAATCTACTGGTTTTGCCTTTGTGTTCTTTATCCAAGAAAAGTGTGGAGGTAAGCATATATAAATGGGGGATTGTACAGAAGTCTGACCAAGGTGTTAATCGCTTGTTGTACCAAAGATGTCGAAAGTGCTTAACTCCAAGGATCACATCAGGAATAATCTCTGCTGTCTGCTCTACGATTTTTATCATATTCCTTAGAAGAATTTGGTGTGATTAAATCAACTTATAATGCCCTAATTTGTCTATTCTCATCACATGTCTGCTTGATATTGCATTGATATTGTAAGGAGAAATTCTATCTTGGTCACTCATGGAAGTTTAAGGGTTAGAATTTTGTATTAAATTAGAGTGGCTCATCCAACTCGAGCTCTCACTGATTTCTAATGTATCAAATGACAAGGAGTATTGCCTCTTCCCCCCCCCCCCCTGGATGGGATACTAGTCCATCACAGGTTACAACTCTTGCCTTTTGTCAACAACACAACACCAGGACCTGATAAGGTATTGACCAAGAGTCCAGTCTACAAACTGTTAGGCTACTGGGTTTCTATTCAAATTCATTGTTATCACTTCAATGGGTTTAATACGAGCCAATATAATGACTAGCTCCCAGTTGGTTTGTTAGCTCAGTTGTTAGAGCACTGCACCAGTATCGATAGCAGACTGAGGTCATGGGTTCTAATCCCATACAGGCCTGAATCTTTTTTCAGGCCTTATTTTCCACTGCAAAGTAGGGTTCGTTATTGTGAGGATTGCTTTCATACAGATCTCCCAATTTTCTTACATTATACATAACCAAGTATGACTGTTTAAACAGGAGATGTTGAAAAGTTTTGTCATTCTCTGTGGACTGATTTCTGCAACTGGTATAGGGTAGGAAGCCTTAATTCTTTTAGGCTTTGTTTCCTGAAAATTCATATATCTTACTAACCAAGCGCGAGGGCCATACTGGGAGAATATTGGCCGGAAGTCTTGACAGTAAGGATAGAGTGCAGCGAGGTCTGTACAAAAAAGACCGAGGGCCAATATTCTTCCAGTACGGTCCTGAGCAAGCTTGGTTAATAAGAGATTTGTTATATGACTGAAGTTCAAAGGGACACAAGAGCAGTGTCATTCGGGACCATTTGGGACAGTGCCCGGTCCAAACTTAGAGAATATTGACCAGCAATAGAGCATTTTGATTGGTTGATTTTAGTTATTGGCCCTCGGACTGCCAGAGTCGTGTAATAATATGTATTACTAACTTAGTAGTTCAACTGCAAGGATTATCTTGTTACAGTACTTTGTACTTACATAATTAACTACTTTTTTTATTTTATTTCATCCTTTGTTTATTATCAATTGTCCACAAGCAAATTTCTGTTTCTTTGGTTTTTTTTTATGTGACAGCAAAACTGATTTTGTTTGTTTATTCAATTTTGTTTATGTACATTTGTCATGTCTATACTGTGTCATTCGAGCATAGCTCAACTTTTGAAGGCCGCCTCATTGGTGCATGCACTATTGAGGAATTCAGCTACATGGGACTATTAAAAGTATATCATGTCTTCTGGAATAATATATGTTGCATGTCAGTTATCCTTTTTTTGAGACATTTTGTTGAATTTGCACAGAAGATAAGGTTTTCTTGGATGTATGTGCTGGTGAAGTCGGCTAAGGCTCTCAGAGAATTAAGTTTAATCTCTATTATTGTAGTGTACTTGAAAGTCTGAGAATTAAATAGGAAGTCATTACAATATATTAAAAGTAATTTTCTGATTAAGTATCTGATCAAGCAAACCGAAGTGAATAGAACTTCCTGTTGAGAAGTGTACAGCAAAGAATATGGAACATAAGGAGCCACAGACTTTGACGTCACAAATGAATAAAGGGGGCAAGTTTTTAAAGAAACTTTGGTGCTGATGGGTGGGGGTAACGAGGTAATTTGGTTTTATCAACTCAGTTGATCAAAGGGAATGACAAAGGGCTAACGTTCAAAACACCAGCATTTTAACTCTCTATGGTGGCCAATTTACAATTTCAACGAAGCTGATAAAACCAAATTACTTTGACATCGCTGGTGGGTAGGTATGCTTGAATAAAATATTTTCTTTTTCATAATCATTACTTCTAGAAAGTTGAAGAAGTTTGGTAAGTTTAAATTAGTGGTTTAAGGTATGAATTTATAAATATTGAACAGGGAAAATAATATTTGGGGATCTTTTTGTATCTAAGCCCTATATTATGCACTGCATTTAAACAAAGGAATTGAAACCTAAACCATATAGAACAATCCCTCCCTTAACATATAACTCCCAAGATCTAACTGTTATTTCTCCCCTCTAGCTGCTACATGTTTCCTAGTAAGTTAGTTATGAGAATTCGGTGGTAGATCAAGATAACACCTTCATAAGTTTGATTATTCTCATTACCTGTTTGCTGGATAGTGTATGGATATTGTAAAGAGAAGTTGTATATTAAATGCTTCTATGAGTTAATGGAGAAACACCTAATCCTCTCCTCTCCCCCCCAAAATAAAAGAAATTCATGCAACAATTACAGTTATTGTAACAGGGTTCGTACACTTTTGACCTTTTAAAATTCCATGACTTTCCATGACTTTTCCATGACCTTTTGAAAGATTCCATGACCTAAGGTAAGCAACAACTAATGGTATTGTTCTCAGACAGTAATGTTAAAAAAACAATTTATGTTTACAAACATTCTCACAATGCATGCTTGTTTATTTCTGATGAAATTAACTCTGATTTTTGGACTTGTCAGTTAACTTTTCAACTTAGGGTCTTATTGCCTTTCACTCATAGAGAGCATATTGATTTTCCATGACTTTCAATGACCCACACCTAAATTTCATGAGTTTCCAGGCCTGGTAAATCAAATTTTGAAATTCCATGACTTTCCAGGTTTTCCATGACCTGTACGAACCCTGAGTTAAAACCCATGTCTAAGAAACTAGGTTTTTCAATTTAGCCTCCATAGGTTCTTGTATAAATGGTGTGTACTGTGGAATTAGGCTACCTAAGTAGGTTTTTAATCAGGTTCTTTCAAGAATAAAAATCAAAATTTCTGTAACTTAAAAAAAAAAACACAACTTGTATTAATGGGTGAGGGTGTTACACTATGCTGTATGCCAGTCTCATAGTGCTCCTACTTTACATGGTTAACCTACCCACACACAGTTATGGATGTATTGACAGTAAAATATTGTGTTCTTGTAACACTGCCAGTGTTCTGGCTAGTTTTTATCACGGTGACAGTTTTTGTATCACGTGTGATGTACTGTATATTAATTAAAAAAACTCTATGTTCTATAAATAAGAACCTAAATTGAGATTTTAGCCTAGATTGTTTCTCATGTAAAGGGTGACTAACTGGGAACTTTTAGCCCAACAGGTTCTTCAAGTACAGTAAATTGTTTGAACCCGGGGGTAACATGTGAAAGTGTAGTGTGATTGTCTGGGTGAGTGTAGTCCTGAGAAGGACTGTTGTCGGTGGTGATGACTGTTGTTTCGCCAACCTATGCAGAAGTCATCCTCAGAGTCAAGTGAATAGTTGTTGTCAGTAGAATGTTCTTAGTTTATTCCTTCTCAGGTCCACCCTCACCCAGATGATTGCATTACACTTTCTCAATTATTTCAAGTTTAGGTTCTTCTATGCTGGCTTTTACTGTATGTCACTCATGATTGCCCCTCATCTAGTGAGCTGTCAGTAAGTATCGTAAGAGTAGTAAATAGTTATAGTAAATTGTTCATTAAAAAACCATAACTTGCAGCTATAAGGTGAATCACTTGTGTTATATACAACATGTTTAAAAATTCAAATGACAAAAATTCCTAATTATACTAGTATTAATTTTCTATTTACAGTTGTTGTTTAATTGAAAAGTCTTATGTCTTAATAATCTGTTGCTAGGCGCATTAAGATTAGAACTGCACCCTATAAGCATCTATTTATTATTGTTATTATTATTTATTAAAAGTGCATTATGAAAGTATTTCTAAACCTCTTTGTTTTCACATTCAGGATTGATAACATACACCTAGTCCTAAAAATTAATTATAACACAACCAAAAGTAATCACCACAGCCAATAGGTGAAAATATCCAATTAATGTGCAAGTGCTTCTTCAATTAAATATTTATTACATACCAGAACATAGAAATGTTTAGCACTCATTACAAGAGTCATTCAATAATGCCCTTATACTTTTAGAAAAATTGCAATTTAAAATCTCAATTCAAATCTTAGCTCTGCATGTTGATTTAGTCATAATCCTGTTACGTGAGTGCTTTTAAACAAAACAGTTGGAAGGGAAACTCATTGACCCACTTTTTGAGTCCTGTAATGAATCTGAATAAAGGATGCACGTTTCTTGCAGGCAACCCCACAGCATTTTGTCAAATGTCCATAGTAGTTCCTTGTATCCATGTGTACTCCCAAGTGGGGGGAGGCCTGGTGAAAGTATGGTGTCTTTTCCAAGAAAACAACAGAAAGACCCTTAGAGGCAGGAATCAAATCTAGAACATTTCCCAACAATCCAATTTGCTAACAATTACTTGCAAATCTGTCTACCTTGGCAAAAAAAATATCTTTTAAGATCATTTCTCCTTAGAGAAGTGGGAGTAAAAACCAACAAAATAGAATGAAAGAAAATGCAGAGAAAGGCCAGAAACTTCTCCCTAGTCATTCAGGGCTTCAACCAAACCTCATAGTTTCAAGTAGGGTTTGCTTCATTCTTCTGACTGTTTTTTTTTTTTCCATTAGCAATCATGTGATTGTACTCGAGGGATTGTTTTCTTTGAAAATTGGACAAATGCAAAATGAATAAAAAAAGGAAAGCTTTAAATCTCCAACAGTTTTCATACACAGTGATGTACAATTGCAATACAGGACTAAAATGACTATACATCTAACATATCAAATAAAATACAGGAATACAATGACTAAATGCTGAACGGCCATTGGGAATGTCACACAAACACAAAATATTCAGAGCAAAATACTTTAATAATTATATGTTGAGTATTTTTTGGAGTCCTATAAAGATGTTCGTTACTTTACCATAGCTTAGGGTATTCTACTTTATCCTCAATATTTTACATTTTATATTAATTCTTAGATAATTCATATGTTAATTGTTTAATTACCAAGTTTTGATTACTTTATTATTTATATGTATTTGTGTTTATTTTTAATTTGTTTTTCAGGGCCAAAACCTTATCAGTATTTTATACTGTCAAGTGCCACCCTCGAAACATAGAGTTGATTTTTTGAAGGTGTACCATTTGTCAGTCATAATTGCTGAACAATGAATTGATAAACTAATACCTCATTCACACCACCACCAAAACATGTTTCATTAACTCAAGTTTAACTGAATGAAAATCAGAATCAGAGAATTGAAAAACTGAATTTCCCACAGGTTTCAAGTACTTGCCAACTTGTATTTTGATGTGCTACATTTGAAGTTGACAACCAGCTTCTTTGATCATTTAAGAAACATATTTTAAACCATGTTTAAAACAAAAACAACTTTAAAGCATTTTTAAGCTTTCGTGTGAATAGGCTACAAGTTAAAACAATTAAGTGTCAGAAATATATTCCAATGATAGTTTCACTGATTATTTCAGCCCTTCATTTACTGACTTTATTCTGCTGCTTGACAAGAGTCATCTTTCTTAAGACTCCTTCTTCGTTCCACCTCCGCAACAGACCATAAGTAATGATGCATATCGGAGTCTCTGATGTCAAGTTCATCCAGATCCTCTCTCTCCCCTTCAGGGTCATCACAGCTACCCTGAAGATCAACCATTCTTGATTCAAAATAACCTTCCATCAACTCTTCCTCAGAATAGCCATTCCTCAGCAGGTGTTCTATCAGAGCATCATTATCATCCAGCCCATTGTCACTGTAAAACTCTGGATCATCAGAGGGATTACTCTGCTGGCTGCTGTCAAGACCATCCACATGCAAATTGTTTGGCATTGGCTCCCCAAGAACAACTCCACAATTACTTTGGTTAGTTGAAGAACTGCTTGGACATGATGAATCAGCCAGGGTGTTTCCAATAGAAGAACTGTTTTCACTTGAGCTGCAAAGCTGTTGTGTTTTTTCCTTATCTATACGTGCTTTAGCCATCTGTATCTTTCTCTTGCGATCGTTTTCTGCGCATTCTTTCCTCTTCATATACAAAGACTTAACTGCAGACAAATCCATCCTTCCACAGTTTTTGTGGAATTCAACAATGTCATCAATATGCCTGGCAATAGCAGTCGGCTTGAGAGATTTTGGAATCCAGGGTACATCTTTTGCCAGTTCAACTAAACCCCTTCTGGAATTCTTCATTTGTGATTTTACCTGGTTGTTTGTGACAGAATTTTTACTCAAAACGTCTGCGATCTTTTCTTTGCGTGGAGTAATTTTTTTACCATCCAGTACAATAAGAACCAAAGCCATAGCAGAGGCAAAATGATTTCTTTCACCGGCCAGACTGAAGTACTGAAAAATGTGAAACAAATCAAAGCATGTCTGTTCAGCAGACCTATCCTCAACATCCAACTGTGCAAGAACACGCCTCAGCGACAAATCAGTTTCAATCGGTTCCAAGTGGAGATCAAGAGCTTTTAAAATGATTTTCACCGATTTACCGAGACTAAACATATTACACTGCGCGATCTCGGCCATACGTCTGTAGTTTATCTGCATGTGATTTCTCCTGCAAACGATAAACAGGCAACTCGCAACAAGAACGGCTGTGTGACGACTTACGTGTCGAATTTCTCCTGACTTCATTCTTGATGCTACAGTAGTCAAAAGAAAATCCTTTGCTTCTTTTACAGTTTCGTTCGAAAGATTCATGCGCTTTGCAAGCTCGTAAAGGAGCTTCTGAAGACGTTTTTTATACTTTGAAGTATCGCTTGTCGGTAATCGCTGCCTCACCATACTTGGCAGATCGAAACGTCCATCAAACTTAGCTGTACCATCAGCTGCCATGGTGGTATAGCCATTTTGACGATCAACATCAAAGTTGTAAACTCTGCTCTCCACAACAGCTCCACACTCTGTACAAACTAATTCTCCTCCTTCTTCCGCATCAACTGCCTCTGCGAGGCAAACGGGACACTTCGACGGCATTTTTTCGGCAGGCTTGTGGATCGCTCTCGATTAATTAATGAGATATGAAAACGTCGAGGAAACGAAATGGCTTTCGCGGAAGAGGTTCCATGTTACAGGCGTTACCGTCACTAGTGCCAGTGTCTTATCAACTATGGTTGACTAGTGCCAATCTATCTCTTAAAAAACAAGGTAAATTTGACCCTCGTTTCAGATTTTAGCTTTGAAACTCTTTACGGTGGCCAATTTACATTATCGACTCAGTTTATAAAAGCAAAATTACCTTGTTATACTCCCCCACCGATGCAGCAGCACCACAATTTTTTTAGGATCTTATCCCTTTATCCCCTAAAAAGATTGACATCAGCAGAAGAATAGGTCCGCAATGCGAACTAGCTATGAAAGAAGCAATTGACGGACAAACTAAAACAAAAAAAAAACAAAAAACAAAAAAATGAAAAGTGAAAAGAGAGAAGTAAAAAACTGTTTGATAGGCAGTTGCAGCTCAGTGTAAATCATGGGGGAAACTTCTCTTATAAGACATTTGAAATAACCTGGATGATGTCTGCCATCGTATGTTTCTTTCGTAACTTGGATCGGATAGTGCAGTCGGGGCGCGGGTAGTGCAGTCGGGGCGCAGGGATTTTGCCGCTCCTATAAGCACAACCATTGAAAAAAAAAAACATCTTTTTCTTACATAGTTGATAAGGCCTTTAAGATATTCTACTCAAAAGTTCAACCGATCTCGACGATTTTCGCTCTCGAGCTGAACACCTCCTTTTACGCGAACTTCGCTCATCCAATCCTTCCTTCGCACTGTGTACGCTAGTTTTTGGTATTAAATCCTCCGCAGCCTTTGGCCTGTTGCATTGCAGAATCTTCCGCCGGAAAGCTGAGTACACCTCCTTACTTTTCCTTTAATATCTTTCCTCTGTCATTTGTTCCTTTCCCTGACGCTGGCATTTTTATTTTACCCCTCTTATGTTCTCTCACATGTGTGCGAATCAACTTAAATGAAAAAATATAAAAATCATGCAATTCATTTGGGCTTCTTTGAATGCAAATTTACGCCAACCTCGCTCTCAAGATATTTTCGCTAGACTAAATTTGCAAGTGAAATCTTTCAACTCATTTCCATTTTATGTTCCTAGTGGTGAGAGCTGTTTTAGGTCGTAGGAAAGAAAGAATAAAGAAAACTCGCCAGTTAATCAAATCCTCCGTCTAAACATGGACAGACAGAATGAGGAGACACTACTTTTACTTGGAATTGGACCTGAACCAACAGTTTTTCCAGGCAAAACACACGGTAAGATAGAAGAGAAAATGTGTGGTTAACTTCAGTTCAACGCGCTTAACGAATTAGGGAGACTGTGATAGTTAGGTTTCCTTTCAAATTGTGTCCACCACAAGCAATTCCATACTCATATCTTCGTTTGACAACGGTAAAAGATTTATGGGAACATGTTGACAGAGAAATTTATCAACAAATTGCATCAGTCCGCCCAACCCGAACAGTGGGTTAATTGGCGAGAGCGTCTTCGCTAGGCAATAAACCGAATTTGTAAATGAGATGTTTTAACTGATCTCGCTGAATTGGGTTAAGAAATCTTGACTAGGTGAGGATTGCATGCATGCAGGAAACGTTTTGTTTTTTTCTTTTTGACCCTGATTGCATTCTTATAAGTAACAGTTCAACGCAATACGACAAACCTCAGTAAATTAATAACGGCTTTGTTTCTTTCCCTCATAGAGGAAGTAATATGGATGAGGCATCATAAGCCAAGCATGAGGGTTTACAGAAATGAAAGGGAAAAAAGGAGAGAATTATGTAAAGGTAAGCTTCTGAGTACAGTTGTTTGAAACAGGTTTAAAATCTGTACACGTGACTGCTATCTTAAGACACCTACCAAATAACGTTATCATTCAGGCCAAAAACCAAAATTGTCGTGTTAGGTAACGCGTTTGCTTGTGTCAGTAAGAAAAATGATTATAAACGATATGCAAATACTTAGATCAGAGGATTCATGGACACAAAGGTATGTCGCTAACAAAGAATGATCGCAATGTTCAAACATGGCTCTGCGCTTTGCTTAAAGAGTTTTGGTTCTTTGAAGTGTTGCCCTTTAATTAAAAACTGAAAAGTGCGGAACAACTCTCCTTTTCTTTTGTTAGCCTAGAAAGAATGTTAAGGGATTTTTTTTTTTCAAAATGAGGATTGAAAGTTTTCAATTGTATTTGAGAAAGTGCAGGGCACGAAGCATGCCAACCATTCGTCCTCAATTGTTCCAAAATTTCGACCATCTGTGAGTCGCTTTGTTCAGGTTTCGTATTTTCAGGCCATTTGGCTCCGCAAAAATGTCATTTTTCAATTATTTCAAAATGAGCCTGTCTTGTCTAGATGAACTCTCCCATAAGCCTGGTGGCTTCTTGGGTCTCCTCGCCTTCTAACTGTTATCGCTGTAATTAACTATTTTTTAATTGTTAAAATAAGGCAAATAAAGATGATGATGATGATGATGATGAACTTTGCAATTCTAGATCTCAAACATATGAATTTTCATCAACAAGAACAGGTAAAAAATATTCGAACCCACAGGTAGTGCAAACTTAGAGGGCCGGTTATTTACACGAGGTCTAATCCAAACTGCGGTTTTACGCAAGCAGTGAGCCTCAGAAATTCTCTATGATGATAATAATAATAATAATAAGCATAACAGGAAAGAGTACCATATNCCCGTACAGGCCTGATTTTTTTCAGGTCTGATTTTCGCTATTGCATAAATAGCGCTATCTACTGCGAGGATCGTGCATCATACGTATCTAATACCGCAGTTCAAAATATATGAACTTCATATATTTATTCTATCTCATTTATCACTTTCACGGGTTTATTACGAATCAACTTAACGGCCTGCTCCCAGTTGGCATGTTAGCTCAATTGGTAGAGCGCTGCACTAGCATCGCAGAGGTCAGTGGTTCGAGTCCCGTACAGGCCTGATTTTTTTCAGGTCTGATTTTCGCTTTTGCATAAATAGCGCTATCTACTGCGAGGATCGTGCATCATACGTAGTTATCAATATTGTCTGTTATATAATTACTCACGTTCTGTTACTCATTGATTGAAGATGGCATAAGCATGCCGAAACATGTCTCTCAAAAAAGTTGTCTATTTCTTACAATATTTATCATACTTGCTACTGCTACGATCTACTATATGATTAAAAAAAATACAACTTAATAAAAAAAGAGATTAAATAATAATTAAAAAGGAAATTATGGTATAAATTGTTAACTAAAGGCAAGTTTAAACAAATAAGTCTTCAAGTCCTTTTTGAAAACAGCCAAAGTGTTTGATCATCTGAGTGACAAAGGTAGTTCGATCCACAGTTTGGGGTCAGCAGCTGAAAAAGCTCTGTCACCATATGTCTTCAAAGATGTCCTTGGAATGCTCAAGAGTCTTGAGTGAAGCAGAGCGTAGTAAACGAGAACTGGTATCATAATGTAAAAGTTCAGAAATATTAGCAGGAGCTAAACCATTCAGACCTTTGTAGACTAACAGGATTATTCTAAAAGTAATTCTATTTTGAATTGGTAACCAGTGAAGCTTGTCCAGAAAGCAAATAATTACAATTATCCAATTTAGAGGTTATGTGGGCATGAATCAGAATTTCAGTGGTGTCCTGGCTTAGAAGAGAAGTTTGTAGAAGAGTTTGTCCTGGCTAGAAGAGGAGTTATTTAATCAAATAAATGTCCTTTCACTATTAGCTTTCGGTCATCATGACACTGTTCGCAAAAAATGTTCAGATGAAAGAATCGGTTAAATTCAAATTCAAGTTTCTGAACGCGGTTTTGCTAAACAACAGCTAAACTTTGTTTAAAGAACCGGCCCATAGTGTTCTACCATGGATAACCTCGTACTTCATTAAACTTGCAGTTTTTTTTTTTTTTTTGAAGAGACAACGGCGAAAACAACAGATCATTTTTGTGATTGATGCTTTGTTTTAGAATTGCATGGGATTATACGGAAAATTTTTGCGACTGGACTACACTCCGACTTATATTGAAGTTTTCTGTGCAAGAGTTAAACACACTGCCATCATATTTGTGGAAATGGTAAGATTTCCGCGCAGCTCCGTACTATTGTGAGACAAAGCTGTCGACCGAAAGGCAATCTATCGTATTCGCCACTGTTTTTCTCATTCAAGAACTGTGTGCACAATAAAGTATGCCTGGGCTGTGCGGAAATCTTACCGTCGAAGGTGAAGAGGTTCTCGAAAACGTAATTCAACTGCTGGATGCAGTTTACGTCGATGCGCCGTCGAGCTCTAAAAAACTAGATTTGAATCAATACGAGACAATTCCTTGGGAGAATAAGTGCATCGATCTCGCATTAAAGCCGAGGGTTTAATGAATTCTGATCACTGCTACAAAAAAGAGGAACCGGCACTTGATTAAAAATTTGTATGAAAAAAATTTCACCTATGTGTACTACGTTCACTTGTTGGGGGTGATCATCAAAGGTTTAGACAATGAATTCAGAGAGGCAAAGCGAAATAAATGTATTTACAGAGCCTTACCGGTACCTTGATCACTTTTATTTGCTATAGCCATGGTAAATTGAATTTTTCCAATTTTAAAATGTTCGTTTGCGTTTCATTGCAGTCCTCCAATATCCTTGTGGCCAGCCTCGTAGATGTGGACCACAAGCTTGGAGACTAAAATCAGGATCGGACCGAAGTAATGATACTTAGTTTTTGGAAACACAGCCTGCCTAAGTTTAAATCAGTCTTAAAGGTAACAACAGTAACTTAAACCTACTCAGTACGTTTCCCGCGGAACGAATTTGGTCACGAATTGCTTTGAAAAAATCCAGACTTCTTTGAAAACACAAAACAAAGCGCTCAAGTTAAGTTTGTTTTATCGTCCGGTGATGTGCAAAATTTGTTTCACGTTAAGTTTAGACCATTAAATTTTGGGAAGAAGGCTAATGGAAATAATTTGGCAAGGTAAACACGATCAAGCGATCTCTTCCAAACGTTCAAAATGTCAGTGAGAAAGCTAAGCTGTTAAAGAGGGACACTTCCAGTGACTGCTAAAACGTCGAGGATTTTGA